GCCTCAGGGTTTGCAGAGTGTAGTTACAGAGGCGGGACACTGATGGGATCCTTCTGCAGGCTTCCCCAATTCTAGACTTCGGCAAGATCATCATCTACACCAACAACCTGAAAATCATCCGCGCACCAATGGACCAGAAAGAGCTCATGAGAAGAATCATCCAGACTGAGGGAATAGACGACTGGGCCTTCATTCACCGGGAAAGGAAAGATAGATTTGGCGGTGGACATAAAAAAGACGTGGAAAAGAAGGCTGTCTGCAACCAGTATGTGCAGGTAAGAGAAAACGGAAAGTGCTTTTTTTTCCCCTAAGGCTCTTGGGTCTTGCAGTTCTGGTCAGACCCCCGAGTGTTCCCAGCTGTGCATGCGACACTGAACTAAACCTGGACCAAACCCGTCCCTTTGCTCCTCTCTGCCCTCGGGGGATAACCGACCGGTGCTGCGCGGCAGTCTGCGCTGCGGGGACAGGGGTTCTGCTTCCTGACGCTCGCGTCTCCCGCTTGATCCTGCCCCTGGAGATCTCTGACGTCTCTGGAGCCTGGCTTAGGTCCATCCCTCGTCACCGCGGGCCGGACTTTCTCCAGCCTGGCAAAGCCTAACACAGCTGCTCGGTGGCTGAGACTGCCAGAGGCTAAAATCTTAATAGTCGCTGAAATAGATTGTGCCTTCCACTTGTTTTCTCATGGGTTAGTCTTTGTTGGTTGGAATTCAATTAGTCTGACCACAATTTGATCCCACAAAACATAATGTTGTCGTGCAGGGCAAACACGAAGCGTTACAGTTCTGCAGATCCCAGCGCGACCTGTGCTGAGCGCAGGACACCTTGGTCCTTCTGCGAGCCTGAGCCGGGCTCATGGCTCACGTGCACACAGACCCCACGAAACCTGTGAACAGCCCAGAGAAACACGGTGGGAATTCTGGCCTTTGTCAGTTTTGAAATAAACTCGATTTTCAGAAAGAGGGCTTTAAGATAAAGGGCAAGATTCACCCCATCCACTGCAGAGACCGATCCGAGCCATCGGACAATCGCTTGCGGCCCTTGGGGGAGCGCACGCCGAAGGGCAGCTCCGTGGGTAACGGCCCGCCGTCCCGCCGTCGCCCTCGCTGCGGGAGCACGCCTCGGAGGAGGGCAGCAGCCCCTGTACGGCGTTCTTCCAGAGACATTTGTTAGCCTCAGGAGAACTCGGCAAAGTACTTCTGCTCCCCTTGGTGTTTGGGAACAGAAAGTAAAACTTGAAGGTTCTAAAACAATGGGTTTTAGAATAATTTTGGACTTTCTATACACTGGTATTATGAACATTCATTTTAAAGATGACCAAACCACTGGAAGGTTATTCTTGGGAGAAATCAATTAATTTGGACTACTAAATTCATAAGCAGGCACTAATATGAAGCATCTCTGACACCAGCCCCCCATATCTTGGTTAACTCCTCGTTCCGCAGCGCCATGTAAAGTAGAAGTGCTGCACAGGAATGGTGCAGGGCTCTGAGCCTGACGTCAGAGGAACGGACCCACACCACGCTACCTTCCCGATGCAGATCGCTAACCGCTTCCGGGCTCCGTGGAAGCACTGAATTTAAGACAGGATTTGAAAGGGTCTGGCTGGCACCCGGGGAGCAAGTTGCACGCACAAGGGACAGCTCGAAAGAAGCTGTGCGTGTTGGTGGCGGGGGCTCGGGGGGAGAGGGCGAGGAGGAATGCTGGAAGAAATGAAGCCTGGCTCAAAGCTGAGCCCACGGAGCTGGGAAGATGGATGTGGTAACAACTGGCGGGAGGACAGGCTGAGCCACGCAGACCCTTGCAGGAGGACAAAGACCGATTTGAGAGGATTGTGTCACAAGCCCAGTCACATTAAGCTCTCATTTTCTAGCAGTATCCACAAATTGCCCCAAACATACGGGAGCCTTTTTCTTGAAGATCTTGCTGTAGAGAACTGAGTATTACTGGCAGAGAGGCATGTCAGGAGCAGCGATTACTCGAAAGACCAGAAGACAGAAGTTCCCTCTTTCAAGTGCGTTACTGACTTTGGTGTCTGACATCCGCTAACAGATTTTTCCATGATCTGTGTCTTTCAGGCAGGAGACGCTGCACACGGCTGTTCCCAGTGCAAAGGGTCGGGCTCTGCTCCCTGCTCCCGGTGCCACGGCAGCAAGTTTTCAATGCTGGCGAACAGATTCCGGGAGTCCTACCGGGCTCTGCGCTGCCCGGCGTGCAACGAAAGCGGCCTGCAGCCCTGCCAGCTCT